GTCTGTCAGGTTGTCATGGAGACCAGCCTCGATTCCATCCTACATGCACGATACCAAGATACCTGTGTCTTATACGATCTTCTGTCAGGAACTACCAGACACTAACTGGCGTCCGATTGTACGGCGTGTGCCACACACCGATTACACAGTGATGGGACTAGCCCCTAATCGAGACTACGCTTTCCGAGTTCAAGCTGAGAATGATTACGGAACGAGTAAACCGACTCTCCCGACCAGATTACTCAGACGACCAGGTAATTCTGTGTAACAAATTTATTATCCAGAGTGTTTGCTGTTGCTGCTCTGGAAAAATGATATATACTACCAATTGAACTTTGTTTTGTGACTACTTTGTCAATCTTCAAATCATGGTTAAAAACTCATTTTTTCAAAATCTATGAGTAATATTAACAAATTCTTAGAAACAAAGAACCGGTGTTTATAGTTTTGTATGCGCGATGAGAATGGTAGGTGGATTTGGCACTACAAAAATGGACATTGGTCTCTATCCAAAATTCTCGTCCTGATTTCACTCTTTGGAAATCAATTGGAAATCTCTATATTTTATTTTTGTTTCAGATTATACTCTTCCCATCGAATACCCAGAAATAGATGAATATGAACTATCATCGTTACTGTTGTCATGGCGACAACCTACGTTACCAGCCCTGAAATCTAAACCATTGACCTATGCCCTGGAGAATTACGAACCAATCCACAAGAAGTGGGTTCCGTTTGCGAGTAAAATACCAGACACCTCGTACAGAGTATCAGAGTTAGCTCCCTCTAAAGATTATATGTTCCGTGTACGACCAGAGATAGGAGCCGAATATCTGGAGCCATCTTTACCAATATCGTACTCAAGAAAGAGATGTAAGTATTGTCAGATCTAAATCGTAAGGGTTGTCATAGATGTAACATGTTAGTGCTAAGCTCGGAAATAGTAAATGTAATGTGCAAGTTAAAAGGTGGCGATAAAAAATTGAAAATGGCGATAATGCTAATGATAATGGTTTGGGGAGTAGTGGTTTTTATCCTGGTTTTTATCACAATCACATAGCGACGTACTATAAATTAATTAATTATACACCACTGATTATTGGGTGTGTGGGTGTGTGGGGGGGGGGGTTACCACATTGTTAATGCGTTTGTCATTGAGTCAAGTGGCATGGTTTCAATTCCTCGCTTGTACGTGATTACAAATTGAAAGTTGCGATAATTATTGCGATAATGTTTTAGCAGTGATAGAATTTCTGTTTGATTTTCTAATCCCACATTAACCTTTGAGTGACCATTATGTTCAGTGTCGATCAAAAATGAAATGAAATGGGGTTTAACGGTTAACTGTTCTGCTTCGACTGAGCTAATGAAGACACACAGAAACCTTTTACATGCACAGCATAAATAGATCAACTGACTGATAATAATGTTTTATACATTTGTCAACATGACTGATTCCCTAAAATATTTGTGTATTTCAGGGCTTCCATCTGTTCCTGTCGAACGACCAGAGATATTTGAAATGGAACCTGAATCAGTGCACGTCTCCTGGAGACCTGTCCGTCTGCCTGGATATGATATGACCGACATGCCTCGACGATTCCGATTGGAGATGAGAGATTTATCTGGTCCTCATTGGACAACTGTCGTACCCAGTACTGGTGACTTGAACTATCGTATTCGTAACCTGGATCCAGACACAGATTACGCTTTCCGTGTCCGTGCCATCACAGATGACGGTGTCAGCGAACCTTCACCTGCTGTCTTCTTACACAGACGACCAGGTAACCATGGAGATGTGTTTTTTTGATTTTAATGGCATTTTGGAATGTGACGAAAGCTATATGCACACATCAAGGATTATTTGTCTGTGGTTTTCCATCAATAGCCTGCTTTAAATTATACAACCGGATGGAATGCAACTATAGTGGTAGGGAATGGTATGATGCGTGCTCATTGAATTAAGTGTTGTGGTTTCAATTGGCCAATAGTTCTTGACACAGAGAAAGTCTGCCAACCCAACTTCATGGGTTTTCTCTGGGTATTCCAGTTTCCTCCCACTGCTAAAGACCCCACCAGGCAACCAAATTATTGAAATAAAATTGAACCATATGTTAGTCCCAAAATCACCACATTTGTGTCGAGTGGATGTTAAACTCTATCCAGAAATATTTCTTATGTCATGTAGCATATCGTTTTCTGAATAATGTTTATAATTAGTATTACACATTCACATGCACATAAAAGAATCCTTGGCAGTTGGAAATGAAAGATAATTTTGCAGAAACACTATTAGGGTGAAATTCTCCTTCTCGTAACCATTGAAATAAAAATTACCATGTTGTCCCAAAATGACCAAAGTATGGTACTGACATTAAACCCTGTTCCTAGACAGTAATCAAATATTTCTGAATGTCAAGACTGTGCTATTTATAACACTTTGGTCCTTAAGACAATTTTGAATATATAGTTATACATAAAAATACAGTGATATTTTGATAATCATTGTCAAGATATCCATCAAATTCTGTTTGTTAATTGACCTATGGTTGGTAGACCAAATAAGGTAATGTCTCCTCCTTTAGTCGTGTGAAATAAAGAGGTTTATTCCATATTTGGGATGGAAATTAACATCAAGGCTATCTAAGACGTGCAGAAATTAGGGTGTAGAGCGAGATGGATCAGAGCTCATTTAGATATTCTAAGCAGCCATTATTATTGAGAACGAGGAACCTTCAAAGCCATTACATTTACATATTCTCCAAATCTTCATAACTTCACTCAGAATGAAGTAATTTGACTGAAATTTTCAGTATTTCTTTTTCGTTATCTATTTTTGAATAATTACAGTAAAAACTGCCAGCTGTTTATCTAAATCTTATATAATGTATCTTTAATCAATCTGTTCTGATCTTTTTTTACAGTTTTATATCTAGAGCCCCTCATAGGTTACCAGAACCACTGTCCGGGCAATAAGTCGCATTGTACACATAGAATTTAAAAAATACAAAATGACTGTTATATTGTGTTGAAATTAAACCCAATTCTATTTGATAACCCCAGATTAATAAAAATGTCTGATTTTTATTTTGACAGTTATTTCTAGAGCCCCTCTCAGATTACCTGAAATCACTTCTGTTGATGATACATCCATTGCTCTCGGCTGGCAACGCGTGGATATACCGGCCTTCGAGTACGATCAGGAACCCATGACCTTCCTTATTGAAGGTCAACGACTACCCGACTACAACTGGCGCCCTCTAGCCCGTGGATTAACAGACACATCTTACCGTGTGAAGGAATTAGACCCACATGGCGACTACCATTTTCGAATTCGAGGCGAGTCGTCTGTTGGGGTAACAGAACCTTCACCTGTTATTCCATTTTACAGACAGCCAGGTAAATATTTTTATCTCGTTTTAACATAGTAGACAGGAGCAGTGGGCACGGCTAGTTCAGGAAAACGTTTGTCCGTTAACCTGTAGGTCCAAGGTTCCATCCCGATATTGAACCAAAATTGTTTTAACATAGGCGGGAGCGGCTATTTGAGGAAGACGTTGGCTCGCTAACCTGTAAGTTGCGTGTTTGATGCCGGTGTTGGCTGAGAAAGTTTATCAGGATTTTACCAGCGTAGTTCCCACTTGTCAGTGGCGGTGCAGGGACAATGTATAGACGTAGCAAACATAAGCACATGGTATGTAAACCTCGACGACTACCCCAGTTCCTGAAAAAGAATCAAGACAAAAGTCATATATTAACAAAACAGTGTGAAACTACTGCTACCTACTCCAAACTAGCTAATGCTACCTACTGCCCAAACCACGCGAGTCACAGAACTAGTAAATGATTCTGAAATACATCACTGTTATATTCATGTGACTCAAGGAGAGCTAGGGAAGTAGTACTTCCCTTTAGTTGCTTGTGTTCAATATGCTAAAGGGGCAATTTGTCGATTCATTGTTTTTTTTAAGCAGTGTTGATGTTGAAGAGTAAGGCTTCACACTGACTTTAACTTGTCCGATTTCATTAGCATGATCTAATACCAAAAATTCTTTAATTGAATATTTTAAAATTATCAAAAATATTTTTACAGTGCGAAGTGGTGTACCCATTGCCAGACCAACCATCCTAGATGAAGATGCTACCACGGCCAGATTGCGATGGTCTCCAGCCTACATTCCCAACTACCTCCAATCAATGCCCAAATCGTACGTTATTGAGAAACAGGAATCTCCATCAAGAACATGGCGTCCTCTAGCTAAAGGTGTTACATCTACTGATTATACCGTCACAGATCTCAGTCCGAGAAAAGATTATCATTTCCGTATCCGTGCTGTGACACCATCAGGTCGGCTGAGTGAACCGACACCACCAATACCCTACTACAGAACACAGTGTAAGTATTCTATAGTAATAGGTAGAAGTCCTAGTCAAGGAACTTAACAGCGTTAGTCTTTAAGATGTGTTTATACAAGCATAATTGAACACTTAGGGAGAGGGGTCTAATATAGGCTATGCCTGTTCCCCAATCCCTATTCAGATACAAATCTGAATAAAAAATATTGTTAAAAAAAAAAATTAAACACTTATTATCTTCATGTGATATTTGTAATGGGAGAGACAAAGGAATGGGGTTTAACATTTTGGAAATATGGTACAATTTTATTTCAGTAATTCTCTAGCGCTAAGGGGTCTCCAGCAGTGGCAGGAATCTGGAGAAATCCCACAAAGTTATCCAACGACCCTACAACTTTGTCACATACAAGTTTGGGATCGTAAACCTACATCTTGATCCAGTGACAACCCTTGTGATCTAAAGTGTATTATTTCTATGTTTCAGTATTGAAATACGAACCTCTACCTATTTATCAGATGCCATTTATCACGGAAGATTATTCCCTACCCAACAGACCTTATATAGAAAGTTTAACTGTTAAAGGTAAGATCCCTACCCAACAGACCTTATATAGAAAGTTTAACTGTTAAAGGTAAGATCCCTACCCAACAGACCTTATATAGAAAGTTTAACTGTTAAAGGTAAGATCACTACCCAACAGACCTCATATAGAAAGTTTAACTGTTGAAAGAATAGGTGTAAATAGGTGTAATTGCATGAATTGGGGTTGAATGAAATCTTCTGCCAAAATTATAAAAACAATTCTCTTTCAGTAAAATTAATGAACCAAACAAATTGCAGTAAAAATAAGAGAAAGTTTTCCCCATACTCCCCGCAGGATTTCATTTGATTAGAGTTAATCTCACTAAACACAGCTTTAATGGAAGCAAATTTCTGTTCCAAATTATGACTGGTCAATAGTCTGATTAACAACCAATAGCTAACTACGTAATATGGTTTTCCCAGACAACTTGTTTCTGTTTACTCTTCATTGAATTTCAACTGACTAGGGATCGTTAATATGCGCATGACAACAATTTTACAGATAAACTGCAGGTTCACATCCCATTCAAACATCGGGAATCTTTTCCATGTGGGGCTCTCTGTCTGACACAAGGAAACCATCTTGGAAAATAACAAGGAACTCCCTAATTACCTGTGAGCCATGGACATGTGTCTAATTTGGATAGTTTGAAAGCACATTTGAATCCTCGCGATGACTACCTGTCTTATATTGAATATGTAATTGCTTGCAAAATGTTTTATTTGGGTGATTATTTATGAAGTATTTTTAAATTTCCAGTTCCACCTCGTAATTGATAAAATTTTCTATTTTAAATCTCCAGTTCCACCGCGATTATCTATCGAGAAACCTGAACTAATAGATATAACTCCCGATACGATTCAACTCAACTGGAACCAGGCCCGGGTCTCTGCCACCACCGCCATGATGTCACCTACCTACTACAGGATCGAAGTACGACAACCAAATAGTTTTGATTGGAGAGAAGTTGCTTCAGGAATTGTGGGACAGAGTCACACTGTCAGGAATTTGAATCCATTATGGGATTATGCGTTCAGGGTACGGGCGATTAACGATTATGGTTTGAGCGAACCTACACTTCCTGTGTTCCTCAACAGACAATCAGGTACGTTTTTTTAAAAAAAAAAAAAATTCTTTAACAACCGGAAAATTGGCATTTATACAATTTTTGGAATAGGAGCCCAGGGACCTCACTTAACAAAGAACTGAGCATGACAACATTGCTGCCATCTTGAAATTTTGAATTCATGTCAACATGTAAAATACTTTGAAAGACAAGAAAATTAGCATTTATACAACGTCTCGAATGGTAGCCCAGGGACCTTATTTAACAAATATGATAGTAGGCTATGATATATGGACCAGAAACCAGACTTGGCATCATTGTTGCCTTTTTGGATTTGTAGCTTCATAACATTATGTATAAAATGCTTAGAAAGACCAGAAAATTGGTATTTATACAGCTGTTGTTAATGGTAGTAGGTCAAGGAATTTGATAGTATGGAAATCAACAGCCAGTCAATCTGGACTGGTAAATGAGAACCAAGTTTTAGCTAAGACAATACCAATAAAACAAGTTAATCTAATAAATAAAGTGATATTGTTGATTGTGGGTGATACTGTTTTTGTTGATTTTAATAAAGATAATTATATTTTGTAACAGATACTGGTATACCGTTAGAAGATTATGATTACGATTCACAGTTTGGACAATCAGGTTCGTTATTTCTATTCTTGTTCTTCTCAGACTATTTGATGAGGAATGGATTCACCACACCATCTTGGACTATTATGTTTAATTGTTTATCCTAGTGCATTGAGGAATTATAAGACCTGCTTGCTCCGTGTAATATTATGACGTCACGCAGTGTGCTATGAGTGACATTTTACGTGGATAGCAGGGTTCTACTTAATCTGCATCAAAATCCAACTGTCAAGGGTTCTTTTACGCGTACACCAATGTGAACATGGGGCCTCACGTTTTCGTACCGTCTGAACGACTCAACGCTCTTTCTTGCCAGGCCGTAGCACGACTGACAAGGGGAAACCATGCTGGAAAATCCTGAATAACTGTCTCTGCCAACACCAGGATCGAACCCAACCACTCATGATTAGTAAGCCAGTGCCTTATGCTTACTGTGGCTTCAATCCATAACCTGAATTTGAAATATAAAAATGAAATGGAATGGGGTTTCATGATCTAACGTTTCTGCACCCACTGGGATAATAAAGACTGAATTTGATGTATTTCTCCAGTTAAATAGTAAGTGAAGGAGGACTGCACCACACCACACACAAGACAAACCCACGGACATGACACACAATATACAGACACGGCAAACCACAAACGTTTATACTTTGATAACTATGATTTTATTTTCAGTTCCACCTAAACTACCAATCGACACACCAGCTCTTCTTGATGTCAATGATGATCGTTTAACGTTAAAATGGTTCCCAGCCAGAATTCCTGCTTACGCTAAAAAGGCACCTATCACCTACACGGTTGAAGTCCGTGAGCCGATTGGTCCAGGTTGGAGAAAAATGATCAGTGGTTTGACGGAGCCGACATACAATGTTGGTGGTCTGACTCCTAAACACGATTATTCGTTCCGTATTCGAGCAGAGAGTCCTTTCGGAATCAGTGAACCAACTTTACCGGCCTCAATCACTAGAAGTAAAGGTAAGCTTGTTTAAAAAAATTTATATTTTTCTTTAAATGAATGTTTAACTCATTCTTATTTCAATTTCAAACAAATTTTATAAATGATGAATGAAATGGAGTATTTATATGCATTGTATGCATTATTAAAATTAGTAAAACAAAAAAATCTGTTGACTTTCAACAATTTCTGTATATTACTTCCAGATTTAAGACACTTGTTTCAGTTTGTAGAAACGTTTTAACCCTCGAATGATGAATATTACATGATCTGTATGAAATTGTCTTGTAAGTGCCCCCCCCCCCCCCATTACCTACAAAGAATGAATATGCGAAAACTCCTGTCAACCGCTTGGACGATTTACTTGCTTGCTGTGGGTGTATGTTTCATTGCCTGGCAACCTATCTTTTGTAGGTCTTCAAATGTCAGAAAGATAGTCTTTTGTCTTGTCACGCCCAATGCTTTCAAATTAAACACTATTTATCAACACAAATAAACAAAATGAAATGATCAATAAAAAAGATATGATAATGATAACGTATACCAGTGATTCTCAACCAGTGTGCCGCCAAATCTTAATAAGTGTGCCGCAAAATTTTAAACGGCACACCAAGAAAATTTCTCACTAAAAAGCCAGCTATTTGACTGATGATTTTCAAAACACTGCAATAAAGTAACTTCATAGCTGTGTATTTCTTTATTTAGTTTGAGTCATTCTATGTGTTTATGATCAGTATTTGTCTACAGTTGTATTCCGTCTAAAATTCAAATATTTTTCATATGTATATTTAGCCAGATGTGCCGCTATTTTGTCATGTGTTCCAAGGTGTGCCGTTGGCAAAACAGGTTGAGAACCACTGACATATACATTTGATCTATTGGTTTATATGCTTGATTTTGTTTTCTTAAAGATACATTATGGAAAATAAGATAAAGAGTTGGCAGTTCTCACTATAATAGTTAAAAACTAGATAATGTAAAGGCAATTTGCTGAAAATTTCAGTCAAATTGATCCACTATGAACCGAGAATTAAGCGATTGAAATTTCGGCCTAGCCACGATCATCATTACTAAAGTCTGTAGGATAAAAAAACATAGTCTCAATCATCCTTTTCATGATTAAATTATGAATGGAAGTCGAGCAGCAAATGGGATCATAATGTCTAATTAAGAGTGTAGATAACATTTCAGGCCTAAAGAAAGACCTGCAATTGGCAGAATTAGCTCTTGCTGTATGTTTAATATGTTTAATAATCAAGTGTAATAAATTAAAGCATGGATGTAATTTATTGTTTCAGCACCAGTAATAAGAAGACCATCGTTTGAGTTTGAGAGAGATCGCGACCTCACATCACCTGCTAGGTCTTATATCGACTCTTTTACCTCTGGAGGTAATTTTTCTGTGTAACATCTATTTTGAGACCACCACTGGTGATTGGCTGGATGGCTGTGGCCTCGACCACATTCGAGGAGAACGTATTACTCCAGCATTAATACCACAAGCCTTTCTCTTGACGTCTATCAGTACAGCGTATAAACACAACATCAACCAATCAGATTGTTGGCAAGATGGTTGTAGCTGTCTTTGCTAATAATTAAATTTGCAACTAAAGATTTCATTTCTTTGTATGTTCTCCAGATTGACTTTCAAAATTTGTAATATAACTTTTTATTTTCACAGTTCCACCAAGAGTTCCTGCTGGTCGTCCAAATATGACAAAACAGGCGGAAGATCGTCTATTGTTGTCATGGCAACAGGCTCGCATGCCATCGTACTTGAAGAACACACCAATCACATATATTGTTGAGATGCGGGAGCCACCGAGTCACGCCTGGAACACGTTAACAGAAGATCTACCCGAGACTCACTTTGAGGTATCGAAACTACGTCCTGAACAAGATTACATGTTCCGAGTACGAGCGAAGAATGAGTTTGGAATGAGTGAACCAACACTTCCAGCTACGTTATTCAGAGAGAGAGGTAAAGTTGAAAAAATAATTCCCATGATGATTTCATTGTTTTACCATTACAAACAAATACTAGTTTTGGCCATTTATCAAGTGATCCAAACCAGCTACGATATTTAGAGAGAGAGGTAAAGTCAAAAAAAAAATAATCACTTAATAATTTTATTGTTTGACCTTGACAAACAAAAACTAGTTTTGGTATTATAGCAGGTTGGTTATCGAGTGGTCAAATCCAAATCATGCAGAATTACAAGGTCTGTTTTCTTGTGAAAATATATTGCAAGGAAACTAAAGGTGGAACGGCAACACTCCCTTTAAAAGAGTAGCACAGGCTGCGTAACTGCTGGATCAAACGATGATGCAGGCAGAGAAAGCAGACATTACAAGGACTATGTTTCATTGGTTTACTATGACGATCTAAAACTATTTTTGGTCTTGTAGCCAGGGGGTTGAAGGGAACAAGCAAATAGGTCTGTCTAGACTGTAAACTGGATTGTCTGTTTTCTTGTGCAAATGTACTGCAAAGAATAATGTCACCTGTCTTGCCTCATGGGTTTTTCACGTCACTCTTCTTTTCTCACTTGTTTATGTCTTGTTTTCAAATTTTTATTTTCATCAACAGAGGAGCCGCGAACGAAATCAAGTCGATCTGGATCCAGGGACACTATGAGTCCGTTTAGAAAGATCAGAATTGGTACACCAACAAGTCGTGAAAGATCGGAAACAGTTGAACGTAAAATCGATTACACACGTAAGATACAGTTTTATATTAGTTATATTTAAGACAATCGACCAAATTCAACTCAAGTCACGTGATTAGTTACGCCTCTTAAAAACAGCTGCATATACATCGATTCAACTTACAGCGTCAATATAATAATATTTCACATGATATCAAAGTAGCAACTAGATGATATTTCACATCCATCAAAATATCTAACAACAAGTATCATGGTATCCTCACGTTCAGCACTCAACCAGGATGATAACCATGGTATTTTCATATAACTAACAACTCAAACTGGTCGATACCATGGTATTTTCATATAACTTACAACTTAAACTGTATGATACCATGGTATTTTCATATAACTAACAACTCAAACTGGACAATATTATGGTATTTTCATGTACATTCACAACAATCAACTGTGAGATATTATGATGTCTTCAATTGTATTCTAGAATTAGGTAGATTAACTCCATAGGGATGATCAAAAGGTTTACTAATATGGAGTTCATCTGACTTATACTGGTTACGCGGGTTGTGTATCATCTTACATCGTCTTCTATATGAACCCCTTGTATATCACTGAGATCCCAACAGATGTCTTCCGATCATTAGTCTCCAGCTATCTCACACCTCACTTGTCATTGTCCTCTACTGCTGTTGTCTAATTGGTTATCTAGAATTGTTATTTACAGCTACTTATTTGTATTTGTTACTTCCATAAATATTACCACATTTTTATTTCAGCCTCGGCCCCAGAATTCCTGACGCCGTCAGGTGAAGACCAGTATGCCGCAGAATCAAGAGGCTGTAAGGTATGTGCAGATGTCAAAGGTTATCCATTGCCGGAGATCACCTGGTTCTTCAAAGGTGAGAAGTTGGAGATGGGTGGCCGATATAATTCCTACACCTCACCTGTTGGACAAATCGATCTGGAGTTCGGTGCTGCCACCTGGGATGACATTGGAGATTATAAATGTGTCGCTGAGAATGAACATGGTTCAGCTAGCTGCGTTATTCCTCTTAAAATGGCCGGTAAGTTGATTTTGAAATTGGATGATTATTAATTGGCTTTATGTCTTTTAGTGAATGAAAGTCACTTTCTTGCTGTTGTCTGTCATATTGGGAAAGATGAATCGCTAGCAGGAATGTCTGTCCAAAAATGGTTCAGTATTTGCAAAGATATGATGAATGTAAAATTTGTCAACATTTGGCATCTTCTGTTAAAATAAGTCAGTGTCACTTATAAGTTGGGCCTTGCACTAGAAAGGGAACCCGCAGCTCACCAACTTTAAAATTTTCAGGCAATCTTTATGGGCTCATTTTTAATCCTGTTGAATCCAAGTCAGGCAATTATATACTGTTAATATTTGGGTTTGGTTTCTTTATTATATGTTAAAATATCAGTGAGTACATTTAGCATGGATTAAGCTGAGAAAATTTATATATTGTCTGAAAATATAAAAACCAGATTATAAAATACCAGGTTACTATTTCACAAATAAAAGCCACGGTGGTTAGCTGAGAGGGAGAGAAATGGGGTTTAACGTCCACTTGACACAAACTAGGTCATTTCGGGACTAACGTGATTTCATTTTATTTTAATAATTCGCTTGCACGTAGGGATCTTTAGCAGTGGGAGGAAACTGGAGGACCCGAAGAAAACCCACTAGGTTGGACAGGCAACCCTACTCCTTGTCATGTACAACCGGGGATTCGAAACCACGCTAGTTGACTCAATGTCAGGCCTTATGATACAGCGCGCATGTGCTAATGATTCGGCCATCCAACCCCACGGCTAAGTGAGTAAGATGCTGATTAACTAGGATGTAGGTCGCGGGTTCGCTCCCTGTGTTGGCTGAAAATGTTTATCAAGATTTTCTGGCGTGGTTTCCCCTTGTCAGTGGTGGAGGAAGGGGCCTGACAAGGACAGCCATCTAGTCATTTGGAAGGGACCAAAAACCGATGTCCTGTGTACACATTGGTGTGCATGTAAAAGATCCCTTGGCAGTTGGAATTCGATATAAGAGTAGTGTCGCTGTCCATGCAAAATTCCCCTCATAGCACACTGTATGCCATATGCCCATCTTCATTAGCCCAGTCAGAGCAGAACAGTTGGACGTTAAACCCCATTTCATTTCTATTTCACAAATACTTTGTTAGTTGGAAATGTGTCATTTCTATGGATTTGCACAATAAACTGTTCAATTTACGTGTATCTAAGTGTGAAATGTGCTGTCTGAAATAGAAACCTAGTCAATAACCATTTCAAATTGTCTGGGTTTTTTTTTTTTAGATTCTTAGATCTGAAATGACGTAGTTTGTGTTAAGCGAATGTTTAACAAAACAACTTTCTTTTTCAGATCCGCCAACATTTATCGAACCTTTGAAGGATGTGGTATTACTAAATCGTGGAACGGGAAAGATTGAATGTCGTGTTGACGGAATACCATACCCCACTATAAAATTCAACAAAGATTGGCGTCCACTCACAGAAACGTCTCGTGTTCGTATTCATCACGAAAGGCCTGATTATTTCTCGTTGACAATAGATGGCGCTTTAAGCATGGATGCTGGTCAGTATACCTGTGTAGCTGAAAATGTTGCTGGTAAAATTTTCTGTTCGGCTCGAGTAGAAGTTGAAGGTAAGTTTCTAAACCTCCAGAAATTACCTGACAGAACTAGCTAGACCACCTGACAGAACTAGTTGACAAACTGTAAATAGTTCTTATGACTCGGTTGGTTCACATTCTAACGTTGGCTCACTGGCCTGAAGGTCCCGTGTTCAACCCCTTTTTTGGACGAGAAAGTTGATAGGGAATTCCGGCGTGGTTTCCTGTTGTCAGTACTGGCAAGGGACAATATATAGTCGTTCAGAGGCTACGAAAAACTGGGGTCCTGTGTACACTTTGGCGTGCACGTAAAAGAATCCTTCGCAGTGTAATTCAAAATAAGATTAGGCCACAGTTGGAGCAAAACAGTAGCGCGTTAAACACAATTTCATTTCATTTCAGTTAATTAGAAATGAATATATACATTAGAGATGAATTATAGAGCTATATCTGGCTATTGCAGGTCTTTATTCTGGCTTCAATTTTATATTTTCTGTTTTTACAGATAGTTTACCAACTTTGTGTGATCTCAACTTTAAGAATGCTAATATAGAGGATTATTATTATGTGATGGAGGAACTAGGAAGGTAGGCTACACATCATCTGGATTTACCTACTTGAAGACCACTGTCAACCTATACTTACACAATAGGGGCCATCAGGGTTTTGTAATTATTATTCAATAAAATACCTGATGTACACTTAAAACACGGTTACACGCTGCATGACATTAGTTTCAGTGGGCAGAGATGGGAACTCGAGTCAGACTTAAGTCGCATCGATTCGGACTTAATTCCCATCGATGACCAGACTTGCAACTCGTGACTTGACTCAGACTCGGCAGTCGTCAAAACTCGCGACTTTAAAGAGCTTAGGACTCAAGTCGCTTCTAGGGAGCATAACTCGTGACTCGACTCAGATTCAGCAGTTGTGAAAATTCGCGACCTGATAGAGCTTAAAGGACTCAAGTCGTGATGAGGGTGCATAACTCTAACTTACCTTATTCGCCATGAAATGTTGACTCATTTGATGAACTGGTGACTTAAAAGGCACTCAGACTTTGTGAAGACTTGGGACTCGTCTCGGCACTAAAGTCAGCAACTTGACTCGGACTGAAGGTGCCGTGGCTTGGGACTCAACTCGGGCTGAAGGTCCCATGACTTGTTCCCATCTGTCTCTCTCTCCTAAATGATTTCCTTAATTTTAAAAGATCCAATTGCTTACCATTCAAACAGGCTCAGTAATTAAATTCACTGATTTTTATTTTAGAGGTCGTCATGGCGTTGTTCGTAGAGTGATAGAGAAATCAACTGGTGCAGAATTCGCTGCTAAATTTATCACAGTGCGGGAAGATGGAGAGAAAGATTTCTTTAAGAATGAACTTGAAACTCTTCGCCTGTTGAGTCATAAAAACATCTTGGCGCTACACGATGCGTACGAGACACCGAAGAATCTGATCATCGTTACAGAACTGTATCCTGATATCAACATGCATGGTGTTAATATCCAACCAGAAACATCATACATTGTGATGGTTTATGCTGCATGGTGTTAACATCTGACCAGAAACTTCTCAAACTGTGTTGGTTTGTGCTGCATGGTGTTAATCCTCCACCAGAAACATTGTACATTGTGTTGGCATGTGCTGCATGATGTTAACATCTGACCAGAAACTTCGCACACTGTGTTGGTTTGTGCTGCATGGTGGTGGTTTATCCTGAATGATGTTAACATCTGACCAGGAACATCACACATTGTGTTACTTTGTGCTGCATGATCTGACCAGAAACCATACAGATTGTGCTTTTTGTGCTGCATGGTTTGTAATAACACTTAAATTAAAATAACCATTTAGAGATATGGAGAAACCATTTGCAGGAAATACAAAAAATGACCTGAAATATTTCTACCTTTAAAAGATATTTAGGTATTCTCTAAACGACGTGGGTAAATATTCATTTAGGGATGTTGGGAAAATGTTTGCATGAAATACAAAATAGCCAGAAAACTTGCTACTTTTATCAACTTTATTAAGTATTTTGGAAAACAAAAGGATAGAAAGATTTCTAACAGTATTCTGGAAAGAAGTCATGATGTGGGGAAATATTTGCATGAAATGCAAAAAAAATAGCCTGAAATATTTCTACCTTTATGAGCTATTACCGGTAGGTATCTTGCAAAGATGTCCTGATCCTGCAGTGGGAAAATATTTGCTCTAAATACTAAATTAAATGAACTGAAACATTGTTAGCTTCCTAAGCTATACACATCAACAATAGATGGAAATTGGATATTCTAGAAAGATGTTTTGATGCTGCTGTTACCAGCATTAATCACGATTGTGAGTTACTAACATTAATCATGATTGTGAGTTACTAGCATTAATCACGAATGTGAGTTACTAGCATTAATCATGATTGTGAGTTACTAGCATTAATCACGATTGTGAGTTACTAGCGTTAATCATGATTGTGAGTTACTAGCATTAATCACGATTGTGAGTTACTAGCATTAATCATGATTGTGAGTTACTAGAATTAATCACGATTGTGAGTTACTAGCATTGATAACGATTGTGAGTTACTAGCATTAATCACGATTGTAAGTTACTAGCATTAATCATGATTGTGAGTTACTAGCATTAATCACGATTGTAAGTTACTAGCATTAATCATGATTGTGAGTTACTAGCATTAATCACGATTGTGAGTTACTAGCATTAATCACACACAAAATGACATCTTCATTATTTAACTACCCTGTGCATATTTTATTGTTGAATAAATGACAACCATTGTGCCTGAATGCATGTTTTTCAGAGCATGTGATATGTTTACAGTCAAGTGTTTTCTCCTTGACGACCTGAAAGTCTATCTGGGGGAAATCTGGTTGATCATGCTATAGACCAGAACAACTGGACAGAAAATGATGCTGCTGCGACTGTGAAGAAACTACTCAACACCCTAGGTCACATTCATTCCAGAAATATTTTACATCTTGATATCAAGGTAGGACTGATGAGTTTATTGTTGCTTTTCCAAGACTGCATGTGTGACTTCCTGGGCCCAATATATGCTTTATTTTTCTCCGGAAATATTTGTATTTTAAAAAATCAGATATTAATAGTAGGCCTATATAAAATGTTTTTCTTATTTTTTTCTATTTTTTCAGCCCAGTAATATTCTCTTCCCAACCAAAGACAGTAATGAAATAAAATTGATAGATTTTGGTTTTGCTCGTAAAATACCAAGCACTAACGAGGTTTGGATGAATTATGGTACACCTGACTTTGCATCACCTGAATCTGTTAATAATGAACTGATCACAACAGCGTCTGATATTTGGTCTGTTGGTGCTCTTGTATATACCTTGTAAGTATTTAATTCTATAGCCTCGTTAATAGATCAATTATTGATCACTGTAACCCGGGTATCATTTAATCTTGTGTATTTAGCACTAATTTCTTTCAAATTCGTTTAATATCAAATCTTTGTTTAAAAACTCGACAAGAATCATTTAAAATCTTCCAAAATCACCTAATTTGTATTTGTGTCCAGTTTAAAGCTGGCTGATTAATTTTGATATTGAGTGTCTAATTTACAAGTATTTAATTTCTCAATCACTGTTAAAATATTAATCATTATACATCAATAATCAACAGCGATCAAGAAATTAAACACTTGTAAATTGGACACTCATTATCAAAATTGAATGCTACTTCCATTTAGAGCCCCTGCTGAAACTTCCATTTAGAACACGGTTGCTACTTTCATTTAGAACCCAAGTTGCGAATGGCCTACTTGGTCTCAACCTGGATTGCCAAAATAGACATGATTACAGTTGAATGATGCTGAATTAACTCTCGCCATTGTTCTTTTAGTCTTAAAACAGATGTAATCTGAGCAAAATCGTGACATAATCAAATGTTTCAGCTATGAGCATTGGTTGAGATAGTGTTGGTTTCAGATGGCACATACCTCGTCGGCCGCAATTCTTTTGTTTTAACGAATGATATCTTTCGAGGAATTAAGAGAATACAATCTTGGAACGTTCAATCAAATATCCCCTATTTTAATATTTAAGAACCCGTTCATAACAATTTAGATGATAACAATTTAAAACCTTTCCTTTTTATTATCAGATTGAGTGGAACGACCCCATTCCAGGCCGACAGTGAACCAGAAATATTAGAAAGAATAATGGAAGGAAAGTTGATTTTTGTTCCTGTCTTTGATAAATTTTCCAAGGAAGCCAAAGATTTTATCTCTAAACTACTAGTGGTTGAACCTACGTAAGTTTTATAATTATGTGTTGGGAGTTGGGTGAGGCTGGAGTGGTCTACTATGTGCACTTTAGATCATAAGGTCTGTGTCATTGAGTCAAGTGGTGTGGTTTCAATCCCACAGGTGTATTGACAAGCAGTAGGGTTGAGTTCCTTACCACATGAATTATTGAATTAATATTGTACATATATGTGTTAGTCCCAAAATGCCCTAGTTTGTGTTGAGTGCACATTTAAGTGCCAATATATATTTAAGAAATTTTCAGTAATTTTATATATTTTTAGGGTTTTTTAAATACTTTTTGGGAATATTTTGTTTTTTACATATATATTTTTTATAAGCTGAATTATGGTCAAACCGACAGAGACTAGCAATCCCTAAATCAACTGTGCTTCAACAAGGACACGAGTCTCCAATTTTAATTCCCTCACAGTAAATAACATGCACCACTAGTTGACAGGGTGCCACCCAGGATAAAAAAATGTTTGTGTAATGTTTTATTATACACACTCACACACAGTCTGTCGGTCCATCCACACTTGCTTGTCTGCTCTCTAGGGGCCACAATATTTGACAAATTTTTTTAAAACCTTAGAATATTGATGCTTGTGAGTAGATGACATTTGGAATGAATTTGAACATAATCGCTATTTCATTACACAGTTATGGCCCTTTAATTAGCATAATTTTGCTTATTCACTCTCTAAAAGTCACAATTTTTGCCTTTAGGATAAACTTGCAAGGGTTTTTTTAGTATGTTTTTTGTGATATTATATATTTTATATATTTATTAGTGATCGTTTGTCGTTAGAAGAATGTTTAAACCATCCCTGGATTACGAATGTTTCAACTGATGGTACAGGATTAAAGTTAGATACCAATAACCTGAAATCATACAGAGATCGCGATCAACAACAGGTAAGGCTAGAAATAAAATGAAGCGTGGATTAACAACCCACCGGAGGGGTGGGATGGCCTAATGGTCTAGAGTGTCGTGCTTCGACCTCTAGCTGGCCGATCACCTCTGGCTTGTCGTTTTGATCCCTGATGTGCTTGGAAATAGGGGCGCCTTCTCAACCTCTTGTTTTCTCCAGGTTCTCCGGTTTTCTCCCGCCGGAAAGACCCCTGCGCATTCGCTGAGACGAATAAGACAACTTGTGTGCAATATCATCTTCGGTGAAAGCAGACGTTAAACACTAATAGAAAAAGATATCCTACTGTTATGCACCAAACGGGCTATGTAATACTTTTAGTAGAATTTTTGCTCGAGAAATAACATATTCGCATAATATGTGATATGTACTTTAAATACTTAAATCAACTTAGTCTGTAATTGACAGTTGACACATAAAAAAGAGCTATTTATCGAAAACATATGTCACTCATTTACCACCAGAATTACACGTGAGTGGAATTATTTTAATTGCATCATTTGATTTAAAGTAACCAATCATTTTGTTAATTACACAAGTTCAGGGCCATGATCACGCTTTATGGTGCATGATATTCATTTACCTTTAAAAGAAACCGTGGAACCCTGTAAGTTAGACTTGCATTAGATTCCAGAGATCAAGGGTACATCTGAGTTCCTAGACAGCCGAGAGGCTGGATAGGGTGGAGAAGTGGTTTTAGCTATATAGTATTGTAATTTGTGCTATGCTTGTATACCTGTATTCAGTTATATGCTATATAAAATGTAGAAGCGAACTATGCATTATTATTCCTGGTAAGACAAACGTCTTAAGAAACTAGAAGAAGTAAATACACAACGTGAAGCAGAAGTAAAGACAGCTAGAGACAAATCCTAGACGATCACAAGGCTACAGAAATATGTAGTAAGAAAAGATGCATGGGTCACACGTAGGATGTGGCGACCGGTTTCCCATAGACGCTCTCAGCTAATAAAGACTGCATACAGTGTCCTATGAGTGACAATTTGTCATGATATCGATGCTACAGCCTACTTTTATTCCAATTTCTAACTATCAGTGAATATTTAATCCACTGCCAGTGTTATACATGGGGTTTATCAGCCTACTTTTCTTCACCTACCGGGCTAATGAAGTTGGGTTTATGTTTAATCCACTGCCAGTGTTATACACGGGGTTTATCAGCCTACTTTTCTGCACCTACCGGGCTAATGAAGTTGGGTTTATGTTTAATCCACTGCCAGTGTTATACACAGGGTTTATCAGCCTACTTTTCTGCACCTACCGGGCTAATGAAGTTGGGTTTATGTTTAATCCACTGCCAGTGTTATACACGGGGTTTATCAGCCTACTTTTCTGCACCTACCGGGCTAATGAAGTTGGGTTTATGTTTAATCCACTGCCAGTGTTATACACGGGGTTTATCAGCCTACTTTTCTGCACCTACCGGGCTAATGAAGTTGGGTTTATGTTTAATCCACTGCCAGTGTTATACACGGGGTTTATCAGCCTACTTTTCTGCACCTACCGGGCTAATGAAGTTGGGTTTATGCCTCACAGCTTGCTATGAGTATGAGTGAAATTTTCTCTTACGCAACGCTATGGCCAAGTCAGTAGTTCTTTAATGCTCATCAAACTTTTAGAAAATTCAGCAAAACACTAATAAGTTTACATACTGGTAGATAAATGCAATGGTCAAAGTCAATTTTCTTTCAACAACTGCTTGTCAAAATATCCTTCATTTTGGTATGATGTATTTTTTAGGGGTTTGTTTTTACAAATAAACAATCAAGATTAATCTCCCTTTCCCTTCATGTTACAGACGAAAGCCAGTGCTGTACGAACTGTCGCCAATCTTAGATCTTTACGAAGATTGATGGATGGAGATTACTCGGATCTCGGATTCCAACCGAAGGTCGATCCAGTAACGGGACAGATAACGTTCCCCGATTCCGAGGCTTACGGTGAATTCGCTGACGAGGAGACATGGTATGATTGGCAGGCACGATATCAACAAGACGCCCAGTTACAGACACCTCACGATTCAGATTATGGTTTAAGGGTGAGAGGTTATCGTAGAGCTGCGGGTGATATGGATGATACAGGCCTGCCATCTGGTGTAAGATTAGATGATGCGGTAAGTTAACAGTCATTTTTTTTGTTTTGAGAATAATTTATTGTTTTTCCGTTAAAGACACCTAATTTGATTTAAATTTTCAACATATTCCCTTTTCATTATTATAACGAGAACTGTCAGATTTTTATCTTAATCGGGGAGTTGGATGGCTGAATGGTTAGCATGCGCGCGCTGTATCATAAAGTCTGTCATTGAGTCGACTGGCGTGGTTTCGAATCCCCAGTTGTACGTGACAAGGAGTAGGGTTGCCTGTCCAACCTCGTGGGTTTTCTCTGGGTCCTCCGGTTTCCTCCCACTGCTAATGACCCCAATGCGCAAGCAAATTATTGAAATAAAATTAAACCATATGTTAGTCCCGAAATGACCTAGTTTGTGTCGAGTGGACGTTAAACCCCATTTATTTCTCTCTCTCTCTTTTATCTTAATTTTACATGATGCATCTTTAATAATCAATAATCAATCTGAGTTCATATTAGTATGAATTATTCTCCGCAAAATGCAAATCCTGCATCGTTTCTTTAACACAGAGTTTGTTGAAGAATGAAAAAAATACATCAGCATTCTTTACGAAATCAAAATGTTTTGGCATCTACCAGAAACTTGAATCATATTATGACTGTGGGGTTAAAATTGACTTGCATCTAGTGTAATATTACAGACAAGTTTGGAACAACAATCACCTGACCTCACTATTTATAGTACACACCTTTATATCACACCGTACCTGTATATTGCATCTTACTCTTCCGGACACCTGTTACCACTGTTTGTCGTGTATTTTGTACACGAGGAGCAGTCCATTTGCTGATTACACTATTTTGCTTGAATACACTATTTTGCCTATAACGTTTTTTAGGACTTCGAATTTTGTCTTATGGTTTGGATTGTTCGTACTTGGTTTTATTTTATTTTTATCATACCTGTCTATAATACTGTACCTGAATATTACATCATACCTGTGTATTACACCTGTATATTACATCGTACCTGAATATTATACCGTACCTGTATATTACACTGTATCTGTATATTACATCATACCTGTCTATAATACTGTACCTGTATATTACATCATACCTGTATATTACTCTGTACCTGAATATTATACCGTACCTTTATATTATACTGTACCTGTATATTACACCATACCTGTATATTACATCATACCTGTATATTACACCGTACCTGACTATTACATCATACCTGAATATTACATCATACCTGTATACTACACCGTACCTGACTATTATACCGTACCTGAATATTATACCGTACCTGTATATTACACTGTACCTGAATATTACATCTGTATATTACACCATACCTGAATATTTCATCATACCTGTATATTACAGACGACCGATTATAACGTGCTCATCCATTAAGTTTCTATGGCTATTGAGGATAAAGGTCAAAATATACAATGTCATATATTCGATCTTAAAGTCTAACACATGTACTTTAGATTATAAGGTCTGTCGTTGAGTCAATATACCTTACCTGTATATTACTCTCATGTATTTCAGGTACGAGATATACTTGATGGTGATTCCTCGACAAAGGTAAAAACAATGAAAGAGAGGCGTACAATATCAGTGGATAGAGAAGAGTTACCTGCCTCTATTGAACGTGAGATGGATTGGTTAGATGGTGTCCGTAAACATCGTGCTATTTACGATCCCGCTGAATCTAGCTGTCCATCAAAACGATCATCAATTGCATCGATAACTGGTGAACGTAAGTCTTTTGTATTTTTTTCAGTTTAGACGTTTTCTACAGAGTATTTCTCTTGCCTCCCATTTTAGGGTTGGGTGGCTGAATGGTCTAATAAACACATGTTGAATCACAGGATCTGTCATTGAGTCAAGTGGTGTGGTTACGATTCCCCACTTGTACGTGACAAGAAGTACAGTCACCTGACCAACCTCATGGGTTTTTTCCCACGCTGATCGAACGGGCAAGCGAATTATTAAAAAAAAAATTGTACCATAATATGTTAGTTCCAAAATGATCTAGTTTGTGTCAAGTGGTCGTAAAACTCTATTTCTCTGTCTCTCTGTTTATATATAAATTGTTTTTGATTTTTTCAGCCGAGCTGCCACCACCGATATTTAAAACTAAGTTACAAGACAAAGCATTCTCTTGTGGCGAAGACATCTTGTTTAAATGTCAAGTGGTTGGACCGCCTCCACCGACGGTCACATGGTACAGGAACGAGGAGTTACTGACAGATGGTGCTAGAATTCGTATTGATCTGACAGATGATGGGGTTGCCACGTTGTTGATATTGAGTGCCAAGCCGTATGATGGAGGGGTGTATAAATGCGTGGCCAGGAATAAATATGGCCGAGCAACTTCACGAGCCAGATTACTTGCTGGGGGTAAGTTGTTTCAATGCTACCAATTAGGTCAACCCAAGTTTAATTGCTGGGGGTAAGTTGTCTGATAATTTTTATGTAATAAAGGTGTTTATGGGAAAGCTACAATACCTTAAACCCTTATTGGTGATGACTTTATAAATTAACCACAAGGATATATCAATATGAAGATAGAGTTGTCTGCCCATTGAACAGAAGTACAACAGATTGTGTTCTGGATGATGTGAGGTATTAGCCAATGAAACGGTCTGTTATTGCAGCTTTAGCTGTGTTACGCACAGAACTGTGGGTAATCCACTAGAAACATCAATGCTGATTGGTTAACCAAATGTCTGACGACATAGGGTCAAAAGCCGCTTGTATGACCTATGACGTGACCTATCACTACAACCGGAGAGATCTTCATGTAGTGTAGGCCATCGGAAGTTTTAAAAAAACGAAATGAAATATCAGACCAGTAACTCCAATTTTTTATGCGTAAAGCTGTTTTACTTTTTACTCCACAATCTATGTAGTCTGCTCAATCCGCCTGAATAATCCAGCAGAAACAGATTTAACTGTTATTAGTCCAACCTTTATGTTGCCGATATCCTCATGTAGACTATATAATTGTATAATTCTAATTATATCATGTTTCTATTTTTAGATGTACCGAATCGTCCTGGGAGACCAGTTGAATAATTTTAATATATATGTTTTTATTTTTAGATATATCCACGCATCCTGGGAGACTAGTTGAATAATTCTAATATATTATGTTTCTATTTTTAGATGTACCGAATCGTCCTGGGAGACCGGTTGTTACACAGATTACATCCGATTCGGCTCTCATTATCTGGGAAGCCCCAAAATCAGACGGAAACTCGGATATCCTATTTTATAAAGTTGACTATAAAAGACTTGGTAAGTTTGTAATTCAAAGGAGCCATGGTGGCTAAGTGAGTAAGATGCTGGCTTGCTAGCCTTGAGGTCGTGGGTTCGCTCCCGGTGTTGTCCGAGAAAATTCATCCTGATTTTCTGGTGTGTTTTCTTCTTGTCAGTAGTGCAGGACGGAGGACCTGACAAGGTCAGCTGTCTAGTCATTCGGATGGGATGAAAAAACTGAAGTCCCGGGTTCACATTGGCGTGTACGTAAAAGATGCCTTGACAGTTGGAATTCGATAAAAGGGTAAGCTGTAGTGCCGTTGTCCAGGCAAAATTTCCCTCATAGCACACTGTATGGTGCATGCTGATCTTCATTAGCCCAGTCGGAGCAGAATAGTACCCCATTTCATTTCATTTCATTGTAATTCAAGATTTTCATCTGTCTGTGATTTTGTGTTTCAAACTTGGTATACTCTAACATCTCTGTTACAAAAGGGAGCCACGTTGGCTGAGCAAGTAAGGCGCTGTCTTACTTACCAGGAGGTTCCATGTTTAATCCTCGTGTTGGCCGAGAAATTTCCATCTCTCTTTCTCCATGTAAGTGATGCAGAAAGGGCGTCTGGGGCAGCGTCTGGTCGTTTGGATGGAACACAAATAACAACTATGGCACGCACATAAATGAATATTTGGCACATGTGCCCATCCTCATTAATGTCAGACGTGGTTTCCCCTCGTCAGTGATGCAGGACGGAGGGCCTGACAAGGACAGCTGTCTAGTCGTTCGTATGGGATGAAAAACCGAGGTCCCGTGTATACATTGGCGTGCACGTAAAAGATCCCCTGGCAGTTGGAATTTGATATAAGAGTAGGCCTAAGGGCCGTTGCCCGGGCAAAATTTCCCTCATAGCACACTGTATGGCGTATGCCCGTCTTCATTAGCCCAGTCGGAGCAGAACAGTATTACGTTAAACCCTATTTCATTTCATTTCATTTCATTTCATTTCATTTCATTAATGTCGCTCGTGCAGAAGAGTGGAAATAAAGCTGAATTTTATTCAGTTAATTTAATTTGAATCCTATACTTCCTGCACATATTTCTGTGCAGGGCGGAAAAAATTCTTATAATTTTATGACCGTTTGTGTTGTATTTTAAGGTGATGAAAGATGGACGACAGCCGTAAAGATATTACACGAATGTGCCGTAGTGAAGGGATTAAAACCAGATACAGGATATCGCTTCCGGGTGTCGTGTATGAACCAGTTCGGTATGAGTCCGTATTCCTGGTCGTCTATACAAGTTGTCACCAAACAATCAGGTGAGTTTCCATGGCAACCAATCAATTTAAATAATGTGAGCCTCATATAAAAAAACAGGAACTGCATCTACTAATAATAAATTATCACAGAGTCATTATGCACATTATTGTACACAGGGATCAGGCCTATTCTGGGCCTAGTCCCGAAATGACCTAAACTCTCTCTCTCTCTCTCTCTTCAAAGCTTAGAATAGCAACAAGGTCATTGACACATGACCACAATGTGAATTTCCATACTAGGTCACAGATCCTAGGACCTGGTATTAGAACAGTGTATGATAGAAATGGACACCCTAAGTTGGTAACCATGGTGATCCGTAACAAAAAGGGTAGGTTGTGAGAGTAAGATCACCTTCAAACTATTTACCTGTTCTATTTACCTGTTTTATTTGATTCAATCAGGTGGTGAAATTCAATTGGATGAAGAACAGCAACTTGCCCTAGCTAAATCTCATCAAGCTGAGGAACAGCTGACACCAGACTCGAGCAGACGTGAGACTAAAGATGATACAGATCTCCTTGACGACTCAACAGAGGAACCAAAACTTCAGAAATCATCTCCTGAATCTGTTTATAAATTCACAGATTCCGTATGGAAGTGAGTAGAGTATGGCTGGCCTTTTAGAAATAGAAATTAATGCTCTTAGTTTATTTATTCTAAAACTGTAATGGAGGTTCGGTGATTTAGTGGTTTAACGCATGCATGTGAAATCATAAGGTCTTTCGTTGAGTCAAATGGCGGGGTGTCGATTCCCCAGTTGTATGTGACTAGGAGTAGGGTTACCTGTCCAACCTCGTGGGTTTTCTCCGTGACCTCCGGTTTCCTCCCACTGCACAAGCGGATTATTGAAATAAAATTGAACCATATGTTAGTCCCGAAATGACCTAGTTTGTGTCGACTGCTGTGAAGAAGTAAATAATGGACTATGTATCAAAATGTTTTTCATTATCAATAAATTATTTTCTTTTCAGGGGTAAATTTTCGGATGTTCGCCATTGTACAAACGTTGGAACAAAGGCAGAACGAGTGGTTAAAATAATTCCTGTCAGTTCTGAAGCAGACGCAGAGAAAGATCGAGAATATAGTATTCTACGTGAAGTGCGACATAACAATATTGCTAGACTTTACAACGCCTATTTCGCATCGGGTAAACTCTACCTGTTTTTCGAAAGACTTTACGGTGATCATATTGTTCGACAATTAGCGTATAAAAGACGTTATTCAGAAGACAATGTTGCCACGGTGATACGTCAGGTATTAAACGCTCTACAGTTCTTACATAGAATCGGCATCGCTCATTTAAATATTCAGCCTGGAAGTGTTGTGACTGCTAGTCGACGTCACTTGGATGTAAAACTCATTGATTTTGGTTTGTCGCAGAAGATACCCAATCAGGATGGAGTATTGGTACCTAGAGTGGGATATCCAGACTTTATGCGTAAGTTTTTAATACTTCAGTCATCCTCCCACGTATTCATTGGCATGGACGTTAAAGAACCTTAGATGAAGAACAGTCGTAAACAATTCCATCCCAGGCAAAATTGCCCCCAATAGCCCACAGATTAACCGTCGCCCTTCTTCATTAGCCGGTTGGTGGAAAAATATGAGAACACTAAACACCCTGTTTCATCCCAAATGGTTGCATGACCTGTATAAACATACTAAAACAGTGTTCAGAGGGGGGGGATATAACCAGGGAGTTTGTCACCGGGTATCACCAAACCTGTCTCATCTGTCATAATAACTATGACAGGTCAGGGACTTGGTCCGAGTGTGGGGAATTTAATGGATATGGTGGGAGGGGGTGGGCAGATTGCAAAGTAAATGGTTTCGGTGAGAATAGAAGGGGGAATTGAACGGGTGATGTGGATGGGATTGAATGGGGGTGTGGGTAGGGTGATGGGATGTGTGGGAAGGAGGGGGATTGAATTGGGGGAGATTAAATTAGCTAACCTGATAAAACATTTTGTCAAACCAACCAGAATTCAGTATGACTTTTGCAATCTATGTTTCAGCACCAGAAGTTATAGCCCAGGAACGAGTTACAGAAACGGCTGATATCTGGGGAGTTGCTGCCCTTACTTTCTTACTGTAAGTAACAGGATTGATCCGATGTTAGCCTCGATAGTTTTCAGTGATGGGACGAAAGCCTGTAGATCCTGAAACCAATCCTGGCATTAGCAGCGATAATAGTTGCACAGTATTTTCTGGCATGGTTTCCCCTTTTCAGTGATGGAATGAAAAAACTGGGGTCACATTGGCGTGCACATAACAGTACCCTTGGCAGTTGGAATTTGAAATAAGAGTAGGCTGTAGCGCCACTGTCTGGGCAAGATTTCCGTCATAGCACACGATATGGCATATGGCTGTCTTCATTAGCCCAGTTGGTGCAGATAAGTAGGATGTTAAACCCCATTTCATTTCATTTCAGATCTTTCTTTCCTGTGCAGTGATTTTGACAGGCTATATTATGACCATTTGTTTGTCCAAACTTGTGTTTTCACTGGCTTCTCATGTTTCCTCCCACAGCTAAAGACCCCTTGAACCATATGTTAGTCCCTATATGACCTAGTTTGTGTCAAGTGGATGTTAAACCTCTTATCTCTCTAGTAGTTTGCGTCATAGCTTTAATAATGATGATGATGATGATGATGATGATGATGATGATGATTTTTGTTTTCAGGTTGAGTGGTGAATCACCTTACAGTGGTGATTGTGATGAAAGCACGTTATTAAACATTGTATACAACCGATACGACCCCCATGACCTCTACGATAATATTAGTAAAGAGGCTCTGAAATTTATCTTTAAAATAATGAAGAGACTTCCCAGGTTTGTTACTGTTCTAGCTGGGGGGTTGGGTGGCAAGGAGTAGGGCCACCAGTTCTAGCTGGGAGGTTGGGTGGCAAGGAGTAGAGCCGCCAGTTCTAGCTGGGGGGTTGGGTGGCAAGGAGTAGGGCTGCCAGTTCTAGCTGGGGGGGTGGGTGGCAAGGAGTAGGGCCGCCAGTTCTAGCTGGGGGGTTGGTTGGCAAGGAGTAGGGCCGCCTGTTCTAGTTGGGTGGCAAGGAGTAGGGCCGCCAGTTCTAGCTGGGGGGTTGGGTGGCAAGGAGTAGGGCCGCCAGTTCTAGCTGGGGGTTGGGTGGCAAGGAGAAGGGCCGCCAGTCCTAGCTGGGGGGTTGGGTGGCAGGGAGTAGGGCTGCCAGTTCTAGCTGGGGGGTTGGGTGGCAAGGAGTAGGGCTGCCTGTTCTAGCTGGGAGGGGGGGGTGGCAAGGAGTGGGACTGCGAGTTCTAGCTGGGGGGTTGGGTGGCAAGGAGTAGGGCTGCCAGTTCTAGCTGGGGGGTTGGGTGGTAAGGAGTAGGGCTGCCAGTTCTAGCTGGGGGGTTGGGTGGCCAAATGATTTCAACCGTGCATGTCAAATCAAGTGGCGTGGATTCAATTCCCTGCTTGTACGTGACAAGGAGTATGGTCGTCTGTCCAACCTTGTGGGTTTTCTCTGGGTCCACGGTTTCGTTTCCTCCCACTGCTAAAGACCCCTACGTGAATACAGGCAAACAAATTATTTATGATAACTTTGTCTCCCCCACCAACAAGCAAATAAAGTTTATTGGTAAATTTCCCTTAGTTATTTGGTAAAAAGGTACAATTAATCCTTCGATTAATTTTTATTGTGCTATATTTTATATCTGGCTAATTGAATGTTTTCTTATTTCAGGAACCGATTAAGCCTTCAAGATTGTTTGGAACACAAATGGCTTCTGTTGTCCGACGCTATGGTTAAAACGCGACAAGAAGCTGTTTTCTTGACCAATAAAATGCGTAAATTCTGTAAGGAATACGATGCAAAACGTCTCAGTCCCGATTACAGACGTGATTTCACGACCTTCACCCTGTCACAAAGAAAACCAGTCAAGCGTGTCAAACCGAAATCTAAACTCTCTAAACAGGAACCAGTGATCGACGAACCATTTAGTGATGAACCACAAGCAGAATCAGACCCAGAGCAGGTTGCTATAGAAACGCAACCGGAAGCCGTTTCAGAAGAAATGGACAAACCCAAAGAAGAGGCCAGTTCTTAAACACAAAGTAAGTTCAGCAAAAATTGCAGGTGAAGAACAGTGGGGAAAAATTGTTAGTTACGAGGCAAAATTCTCCTAGTCACATGACCTATGAAAATATGAATAAAAATTGTCACATGTTTGTCTCAAAGGTAGCGTGTTCATGATACATTAACTATATGTTAGTCTCAAAATAACCAACTATTGTGTTAATTAGACATTAATCATATGTTTGTCTCAAAATAACCAACTATTGTGTTAATGAGACATTAATCATATGTTTGTCTCAAAATAACGAAAGTATTGTGTTGATGATACATTAACCATATGTTAGTTTCAAAATAACCAAAGGTATAGTGTTGATGATACATTAACCATATGTTAGTCTTAAAATAACCAAGCTATTGTGTTGATGATACATTAACCATATGTTAGTCTCAAAATAACCAAAGTATTGTGTTGACAAGACATTAACCATATGTTAGTCCCAAAATAACCAAAGTATTGTGTTAAAGACATTAACCATATGTTAGTCTCAAAATAACCAAAGTATTGAGTTGATGAGACATTAGCCATATGTTAGTCTCAAAATAACCAAAGGTATTGTGTTGACGAGACATTAACCATATGTTAGTCCCAAAATAACCAAAGGTATTGTATTGATGAGATATTAACCATATGTTAGTCTCAAAATAACCAAAGTATTGTGTACAATTGGGATGCTGGATTGTCAGTCTGAAACGTTCCGAATTGACAGAATCGCAATCGAGTGACGGGGAATTCAGTTCTGTCATAGTTCTGTCAGTTTCGACAACAGAAGTGGTCAGTGGTGTGAGTAGAATCGTGACATAGTTAACACAACGAATATGTTTCAGCTGCATGGTTGGTTGAGGTATTTTCTTATTCAGTAGATGTATGTGGTGTAGCCAGGGGCGTGCTGGCCCCAAAGGTGCCCGGGAGGACGGGCACCGTCGGTCGCCAAAGGCGACCCGAGCGGCGAAGGCGCGCAGCTGGTAGGGGGGTAAGGGGGGGGTTCTCCCCCCAGAAAATTTTTGAAATTTGACAATGGGAAACGCGTTTTGCAAGCACCTCTGGGAGAAATCTAGGTATCATATTTTCCAAATTTATGCTGCTATTTTGACTATAAGACATACTACTGTACTACACAAGACACTCATGACAGGTCTGCTTAATATAATGCTAATTCAATGTATTTCTATCCAAATAATAAATTTTTAATCAAAGACCATTTCACCTTAAGGTGACAGACATTTGCACGTCAGCATAATATATTTTACTAATCGTTGTGTATGTATGATTTTTCGCGTGCGCACTCTCAATTTTTTGAGGGGATTCCGCGTGAAAATTAGAGCTCTCAGGGGGGCCCGCTTATACGGGTGGACTTATTGGTTAATGGGGGCCTGGGAGGACACCGTCCTCCTAAACTCCCTGCCAGCACGCCCCTGGTTGTAGCCCGATATACCCCTTTTCACATCGATTGGGGATTGAGAGAATTCAATTCCAAAAGGTTCAATCGAGTATCCCCTGTGTAATGTGTCAAGGGGGATAACTCTTGTGAGATGAAATGGATGCAGACCACCAAATATTTTTGACCAAAATGAAATAGAGTTAAATCATAAACTTTAATGTTCTACTCCTCCAAATTTATATTTTTTTTAAATCTATTTTTCAGATGAATGGAGAAAAAAAGTTTTGATTTCGATGTAAATGTTTTTAAATAGAGAGAGTGATAAATCCTGCGTGATGTTGTGATGATGTTCACCTTGAAACAACCTTGTGATATGTCCTTCCGACGTCGGGGGCAATGTAGATATCCATTAGATATTCCAATGATTAAGCCTAAAATATTTTTTGTTGTGAATTGTAGTTGTTACAATAAAGTTGTTATACTAGTGAAATATTTTCACCTTAGAAATTGTTGATTAAATATACTATCCCTGTGTTTTTCTTTCATCTTTTATAATTTCTGTGACGTCAAATATATGAGATAGTATCTTTATGTGAATCGTTCAATCGAGAATTTAAATGACAATGTTTATTAATTTTATTTGGATGACCACAAAGGTTTCTCTTATTACAGAAACCAGCAACAAAGTGTTTCTGTCGCTCTCGTGAAATCAAATATTGGGGTTCGTAAAATTGTTTTATTTAGGACTTGTTAAAGAGAAAACAATTTCAATTCCTAGCAATCAAACAGCTATAAGAATTATAAATTGTATAGAAATAATGTGTGTTGATTATCTTATATTAGATATGTAATATTATTTATAAATAATGTAATAATATTTATAAATACTATCTTATATTAAATGTAATATTATTTATAAATATTATCGTATATGAAATATGTAATATTATTTATAAATACTATCGTATATTAGGTATGTAATATTATCATATATTTATGTAGATATAAGTAAAGGTAGATAATATAATTATTTAAACATATATATATATCTATGTAATATAGTTATTGTTTGATTGTATCTTTATAACAAGGACAAGTTGTTTTGTATTATGTCTACATACTGGTTGATTGATGTAATGGAAATGAAATGGGGTTTAATATTCTAATGTTTGGCTCTGATTGGGTTAAAGACAATAGAGGTTTATTGACTATAGGTTTTTGTTCAAACTACTGTTAGTTGTAGATCACCTACACTCGCTTCGATGATCAAACCAAATATTAAATCAGTAATAATTATACTTTGCTATATGATTGATTTTGTTGCTATTGCTTTTGTTCTGTTTTACTTTATCCAGGTTGTGCCATATTTTGTTCCTACTTTCAATTTGTGATGGTAAAATGACTGGTCTATTTATTTTTATTTTGTGATTCTAAAATGACTGGTCTATTTATTTTTATTTTTTGATTCTAAAATGACAGATCTACATTTTTTTGCTAAATCTTATTATTATGCCTTTTTTTATTTCAATTTTCTTGTTATTTTTCAAGTGCAATATTTTACACTTATTTTTTTTGCCAAATTTTTGTATTTATCACACCAATATGGATTGGTCCTATAGTAAATAATAACTTCTTTTATTGGTTTATTTTATATTTTGTGTATCTTCTGGTCAGGAATTGGCAACATGTTTAGGGTGTGTGGGTAAATTGCTTTATGGTCATGTGACGTAGCACTATGGTGCAGTTATGATTGAATGAATGGATTATTACTTTTAGTATGTTTGTCAGGACAGAATAATCTAGGAGGCCTCAGATTTACGGACAATCTAGGTGTCCCCAGATATACGGACAATCTAGGTGTCCCCAGATATATGGACGATCTAGGTGTCCCCAGATATACGAACAATCTAGGTGTCCCCAGATATACGGACAATCTAGGTGTCCCCAGATATACGAACAATCTAGGTGTCCCCAGATATAGGGACGATCTAGGTGTCCCCAGATATACGGACAATCTAGGAGGCCTCAGATATACGGACAATCTAGGTGTCCCCAGATATACGGACAATCTAGGTGTCCCCATATATACGAAACATCTATTGGTGTCCCCAGATATACAGTCACAGGACAGAACAAAATAGGTGTTCCCAGATATATGGACAATCTAGGTGTCTCCAGACATACAAAAAATCTATAGGTGTCCCCAGATATACAGTCACATAACACACAGGACAGAACAGAATAGTTGTCCCCAGATATATGGACAATCTAGGAGTCCCTATAACACACCACATCCCTAGCTACATTATACTGTTGCCAATTCTTAATCAATATCTAGGTTACATGTTATTTATGTGGTAGATATAATTTGTAAATATTATTATTTATACTGTAATAAGATTGTGAAATGTTCTTGTAGAAGATGTCTTGTAGAGGATGTTTTGTAGAAGATGTTTTTGTGGTGAAACCGAAATAAATCCGTAAAATATCCCAGATATTGCTCTATTTCAATAATCCATTCAATATGCCGTATTCGTTACTCAAGAGTTCACCAGTGGAGAATAATACCCATGCTTCAGAAAGAGAGAGCATCCACCCTCAAATAAAGAGATAAACATCCCAAGTTATTTTTGTTCTCAAAGTGACCTAAAATGTTGATTCCAATAAGAACACAGTTCCCAATTCTTCCCTTTCAAGATACTTCCCTGTGCAACAACTTCCCCACTTTATCCTCCTATACTAGCTACCTTTCTTAGCCGCGTGCCCAACTTCGTGGGTTTTCTCAGGATCCATCTGTTTCTTCCCACTATTAAAGACCCCTACCTGCAAGCGAATTATTGAAATAAAATTGAACCAATGTGTTGGTCCCAATATGACCTAGTTTGTCTCAATAATCCCCATCGCCCTCTGGATACTTGACCTAACTATGCTTTTTTTCTGTACACCTGGCAAAAAAGGGAAACCAGGCTGGAAGAGAGAGAAATGGGGTTTGATGTCAACTCGACTCAGACTAGGTCATTTTGGGACTAACATGGTTCAATATTTGATTTCAATAAATCGCTTGCGCGTAGTGGCCTTTAGCAGTGGGAGGAAACCGGAGGACATAGAGGAAACCAATGAGGTTGAACAGGCAACCCAATTCCTTGTCACGTACAAGCAGGGAATCAAAACCACGCCACTTGACTCAATGACAGACCCATATGATACAACACGCACACGTTAACTATTTGGCCACCTACCCCTTCCCCCCCCCACCAACAGGGATTGAACCTGGGACCTTCTGGGTTGTGAGACAATGCCTTACTCAATAAGCCAATATGACTCTTTTGATGTGGTTGTTGGGGTTAAAGTATAAGTGAATTTTAATATACGATGCAACCTTTCACAAGCAATTCAAGCATAGACATGCAGGTGATGTAATTATAAAAACACATTTATTGCAAAGAATTTAAAATATTATAATAATAATAATAAGGGTTCTTATAAAGCACTATACCGTCTTCAGTCCAGTCAGAGCAGAACACGCCTGTCCAACCTTGTGATTTTCTCTGGGTGCTCGGATATGTGTGATTATCAAACGGAACCAAGATCTTTATGATAAAAACATATATATTTAAAGTTTCATTCAAATCGGATAAAAACTGTGGTCTCTAGCTAGAGGGTCGAACCTTGATATACCATATTTTTACACTTATTTGCGTACAAAAGATGGCCATTATATCCGTCATTTTTTTCTGATTTTCACGAAATTCGTGCTCAACCATCATTTGTGTATAACTGTGATCTATTCACGCGTTTTTGTTTTTAATCGGATAAAAATTGACCTCTATAGGAAACACAAGCTCAAAACGCGATTTTTTCGTACAATCAAGGGCCACTATTCAGGAAGTTACGATTCGATATGCGCGAATATTGAAAGGAACCAATATCTTTGGGTTATAAACATGCATTTCAAGTTTCATCAAAATCGGATCAAAATTGTGACCTCTAGAGTGTCCACAGGCTAAAAATCATGATTTTTCGTACAATCAGGGGCAATAATCCATGAAGTTATGGTCCGATATACATGCCAATATCGGATAAAAATTGTGACCTGTAGAGTGTCCACAAACAAATTGTGGACGGACGGACGGACAGGGGCGACGACAATATACGTCCACAAGAAAACGTGGGCGTATAAAAACATTTAAAAACAAATTAAGGAAAGGGAGATAATTGGGGAGATAACTTGTAAATTTAACCTTAGCAAATGTGAATTACTCGGGTCAAAGTAAAATATGCGTAATAAATTGTGAATTATTAGGGTTGTTGAAAAGATAACTCTAAGCAGATTCATTGGATGACTCAGTGACGTTTTACGAGGAAAATAGGAAGTATTTATCGAAAACTAAGTAGATCTATGTCCTGTACAGTTCTCCAAAAATCAAAACATTGACAGTTAGCATACGAATACTTTATCGAAAGGTTTTCCAGAATTTGTAATTAATCACAGTTTTATTGGACAAAAATTGTGACATAAACAATCTGAGAGGTGAGTGCGATGTGATATGAAAATGATCATACGAGTCACTTGTGTCTGTCGATCAGGAACTGAGGAAGTACGTTTGACATAGCAATCATACATGTCATTCTTTCATTCATATCATATTAATCGGTAAACTTATAGCTCTAATTTTATCGTTATTCGTTATTTTAACTTGTCATCTTTATTTTTATTACTTCCTTATAAAAATACATTATTATGATTATGCAAGAGAACTTCAGAAGTAATAAATATGATTGTAGCCAGGCCTAGGCCTGTATTATTTAGACATTTAGTCACATGACACGGGTGGGGTGGGGGTTTGGATGGCTGAATGGTTAGCATGTGCGTGCTGTATGATCATAGGCCTGTCATCGAGTCAACTGGCGTGGTTTTGAATCCCCGTTTGTACGCGACAAGCAGTTAGTAGAGTCGCCTGTCCAACCTCGTGGTTTTTTTTCCAGGTCCTCCAGTTTCCTCCCACTGCTAAAGACCACTTCACGCAAGCGAATTATTGAAATAAAATTAAACCATATGTTAGTCCCGAAATGACCTAGTTTGTGTCGAGTGGATGTTAAACCCCATTTCTCTCTCTCTAACATGACAAGCCTTTAATCAACTCTTTTGACCATCGGATGGCAGAGATTTAAAATTAAAATGGATTAAAAAACCTGCGATTTTTAGAAATTTAACAATTTTCAAGTACTATATTGTTACGATAATAAACAATCTGCGCTACAGCTTCAAACAGTCATAACTTCGCTTAGATTAAAGTAATTTGAATAAAATATTCAATATGTTAAATAAATGCTGCATATACAATGTAGCTGGAATGTAAATATATGTGGTGTGTTGTGTGATTGTTCGTATATATAATGGGGTAGGCCTAGTCTAAAACTAATTAAAATTCCAACGGACTTGGTCGTGGGGAATTCCATTTGGTTCACTCGATATAGATGGATGAATTACATGCCTGACGTTGGAGGGTCGAGAGTAGAAATGGTTCCACTACTGATGTCTCCCGCCTTACTCCAGCCACAGTAGTGGCTCGTCCTACAGAGTTCCTTTGCGCAAGTTTTTTAGTTAAATTACTACAAAAAGGTTACTGGCCTATAGCTCCCTTAATTTACACATAAACTGACCCAAAACAGTACTGCACCTAGCTTAACATATAATAAATCAATTCCTATTGAAATAAAGGTGAAGCCTTACCGCATAATTATATGATTTGATGAAACTGCTGGTGTCATGGCGGCTTGCGCAATATGTCATTACACGAAACATCGCTATACAAATGCAGAACACATAACCACAAAGAAAAACTATTCGGTAACTATTTTAGTGGTCCAGTCTTCACTATTTCAAGTATTTGTCATAGAATTACTTATTCCAATACAAACTGTAATATGTGTTGACAATTGTGCGTTTGAACCTATTTGAACTTGCGTAAGGATTCTTAGACTGTATCAATTGTAACGTTAAACACACAGTTTAATGTTACAAGTATAGTAACTAGGCCGAGAGATGCTCAACAGAAGACTAAAAAGTTGTCAAAACTAGAATACCAAAGCAAAATACCTCCAGTAGCACATTGCATGGTGAATGCCCAGTCAGAGCATTGGAAATGTTTTATAGAAATGAAATTTCAGCATGTGAGTCTCAAACTGATGTAGGGGGTTGAATGGCTGAATGGTATAACGTGTGGTTTCGATTCCCAGCTTGTACTTGGCAAACAGCCTCGAACTGATGATGTCTGATCTAGGGGGTTGGATGGTCGAATGGTATAACTTGTGGTTTCGATTCCCAGCTTGTCTCAAACTAATGTAGGGGGTGGATGGCTGAATGGTCTAACTTGTGGTTTTGATTCCCAACTTGTATGTGGCAAACAGTCTTGAACTGATCTAGGAGGATGGATAGTTGAATGGTATAACTCGTGGTTTCAATTCCCAGCTTGTATGTGGCAAACTGACCAAAATGTTATGTCGACTCGACTTTATACCCCATTACATTTAAATCATTTTTGTATTTTTTTTCAAGTTAAAATCATTATTGGTATGGAAGAGAAATTATCTTGATAAAAGTTCTTGAGGAAAGTTTGAAAATGGCTGCGACAGTGAGAAGGGAAGTTATCGCAGTGCAAGAAGAAACTCCACCCACAACTGTTTCACTCCATACATTTCTAGAATTTTTAGGATACTTGGTAAGTAGGCCTACGTAGGCTTAGTGCTTGGAAAAAACATTTGGATATATTAGAGTCTGTGATAGTCGTTTGAGGGAATATTATAATGCTGTATAAACTACAATATTGTTAAAGGAGCTGAATCGCTAATATTTTGGACCTAGAAATTGACACAAATGGATCGTAACGCATATTATAATGTGATAGGAATATATATAAACTGATTTACATTCAATCGTTTCCATTTTTACTCTAATTTCATATTGGTTACGTTCGGCGAAATATGTCTGAAGTCTCAATCGAATGAAAATTTCTAGCTTCTGGTTATTCTAGTCTACATAGTATTTATTGCGCATACTCTCCCGATATGAATATGCCGTCACCGTTTGACATGTCTTGTTGAATGTCTAGCCTCGTTCGTCGAGTCCCTTGTTAGAATAGGCCTGAAATGCATTATGGTACACGATTCGTGTACCAATGGTAAAATGTTTATTTTGTCTTAAATATTGGATATCAGAAGCCCATCTTTTCCCGGTAAGATCACAACATCAATGTTGATTTAAATTGACAAATAAATCGTGTTTTCAATGTCGAAGATTTTGGATGATATGGAGTTAGAGACTTAGCTACTTTAAAGATGAATCTCTAAAAGGAATATCAGTCCAAAAATAGTTAAACTCCGTCAGGGCCGTAACTAGCTCAGAGCAACGAGGGGGGGGGGGGAGTGTTCTCAGGGGGTACTGTAAAATTGACGGACAATGTATTTATATTGTTTTTATGGTCGACAAT